CCCCCCCAGTGGCACAGCGGCATGTCTGCGGACTAACAACGCTAGAAACTGGGTTTCGATACCCGTAGTGGGCAGAGTACAGATGACCTAACATGTAGCTTTGTGCTTAATTTCAAACAAACAAACAAAATATTTGGTTGGGTGTGTCATTTTTATCTGTGGGTGTGTTATAAGAGTGACAGTAAATATTACGAATATTAGATTATTTTTGTTTGATTAATGACACAATATAACATAGTAGCAAACAAGAACCTGGTTTTCTTTTAACTTCTCTACGCATTCCTATTTTCATTTGTTCTGATGCTTAAAAAGACGTGCGAAAGTTGTCTGTGTTATTTTCAGCTTACCTTGACTCTTCAATTGGATGGTAAAGCATCAGTAGCTTTGAGTGCTTAAAACGGTCCAATTGCCGAACACTAAACCGAAGAATTTCAGTAATTGTCTCCTTCCGTCTTGGTTTATGTAACTTGTCAGCCACCCTTTTCTCGAACATAAATACTGACGCTTCCTATTGGGTGAATCATAACATACACATATTAGCGAGAGTAAGAAATAAAATACTAAAATATGATACTTAAAAACAAAATTTTAGGGAGAAGGAATGTTGTAAACGTGAGACAAGATTTTTATCCTTGAATCATCTTTCGTTACGTATTTCTTAAAACGATGAAGGAAAATGTTCCATATTAATTACACATTGCAATAATAATAATTTAGCTATACACACCAATGGATTTATTTGGGTAAATGAGGAAGAGTGTAAGGATGGACCTAAAGTATGTTAATGCTCTACTTACTACGACAGACTAAACGGATCTCAAGGGTTATGTAAGATAAAGGTGAGAGCTAAGCAATTTGTCTTGAAATTGTTTCTTGGTTAGTGCAAGTTTTATCAACAACTAAAGAAACAACAAAGTAATTTCCTCATGTTAGTATATGTATTTGTGTATTCTTCTTCTTTTTTATTTTTTAAGAATGTGAGGCTGGCGAAACTGAGGTTAAACTGGATAGACGGTGTACCCTCCAACGCAATTTGGGTCTTACTTCCGCCAGTACTTCAAAAACCAGGGAACGTTGCATAACTACCCACCTCATGGTGTGTCACCAGGTGATACGTGTCTGTTTTGTAGCTGCGTTGTTTCTTTTCTTTTTTTTTTCATGCTCTACATAATATTACAATTAATTATTTTCATCGAAGGTTTAGATATGCCGTGTAAAATTCACGCAATTCTTCCTTGTGATGTAATATTTTTTTAGAATTATATGTATAATAATATATATTGGATATAGAAGCAAAATAAATTAGCTATGTTTAATCACTCTACTGATACTTTTAGAGTGCATACAATTTTCATTATGAACTTTAGAAAAATTAATTATTCATGGACAATATATTGATGTTAATATATGAATATATATTATTTTACTAACTGGTGATTAAGATAAACAGGAAAAATAATTTATATCAATTAAAAATATACGTTTATCTGGCGCATTCTTTGAAAATGGAACGGAGAGAAAAAAAAACCTGAATTATTATTTTCTATTTTTTAATGACAGATTAAACTATTGTACATATATATCGACCAGGAAAAGGTAGCCCATAATGTGAAGTAACGACAAGGCCCCTGGTTTTAACTAAAATCAATTATGTAATATATATAGATTTGAAGACAATTCGAATACTGGTACAAAAATCTAAAACTTATGTAAATGAACATATGTTTGTTGTTACATAAGATAATACCAAAAATATCGAATAATGCTTTGTGTAAACGGTATAATGTTATATATATTTATAACCTATACACAGGCTGTTAGGTTCTCTAGGAATACTGTTCTTAATCTGTAGTAAACATAGAATGTCGTTACCTATAAAAAAATTCTTGTTTTTGTGTGTGTGTGATACATTTATTGTTAATAATTTTAATATGATTTTAATTTGGATTAAGTTGGATTGATGTCCAATATTTTTTCTTTCAGGAAACGTGAGGGTGTACAGTGAGGAGAAGTTAATGGCATTTTAACCTGTATATATATATACATATACTAAAGTAAGGTACAAGGCTATCATACTACTTAAGGACTGAGCTAGCTTTGTACAGACAATTTTCAATATTATATCTAGTGTTTGTATTCATTTTACATACAGAATATTTTATAATTACTAAAATGATATTAGAGCTTCTTCCATTTAACGTGTCTCTTCCGAATTTTATGCAAATTATAATAAATTACGCTTACTCTAATATTTTGTTTATGTTTTAAAACACAAAAGGAAACTATTATTACTTAACATCATATATTTTACTGTACTTCAATTACAATGAATAAGTTATAGTTTTTGAAATCAAACTTTTTATAATACAAAGTAATATCTCATAAAACTTCCAATATGATTAAATTGTAATACCCAAACCTTATAATGGTAGTTATCTTCTGAAAAAATGTAATTAAACTATTCACCGCCAGATGGATATTTAAAAAAATTGACTTTTTCAAATTATTTTACTCATTCACAACAGAAGGTGCATAAAGATACCTCCAAATTAAATACGAGCATTTTTTAAGATTTCTCATAAACTATTTCTGTAATATGTAGTCAGTTTCATATTATTGTTTTATTCTGAAAACAAAATTCAACCACTGTAAATTAACTTCCATTTCAGATATCAATTAACCCTAAATCAGAGTAAAATTCTAATATATTTTTCAATAATCTTATTAGGATCGTCATTTTTAAGTAATTGCAATAAATACTAAATTTTAGAGTTATATTTTGAAAAATGCATTAAGTACACCATAAGATTCTAGAAGAATGTATATTTTTTATTTTTTCAAATGTTTGAAATCAGAATTTTCCAAGAAAGCACTTAAATCACCACGAAGTATTTTTTAAGATGTCTTTTCTGGTCAAATGCAAAATATAAAATTATTAAATGACCATGGAAACGACTGTATTGCATCTTTATTTTCTTTAAAAATATTATTTAATTTATATATATATATATAAAAGTTTTAATAGTTTAAGTAAGCAAGACTTTGTATTTTCTTCGTTTCAATCCTATATTTTAAATATTGTTTGTTTTATTATTGACTCTTCCGATCACTCTAATTTAAGACTATCCCACGTTTTTTAAAAATACTGAATTAAGTACTCCAGTATTGAATCACCAGTATCCGATATTATTTCTTTCCAGAATGTGTTATTAATTTTGTCTAGTCTTTCTTAGATATTCTGTTTCCCCTTTCCTTCGAAAATGTATTAACTGTAAAGTTTAAGATATTTTGTTCATGTTCATCATCTCGCTCTGGTTACCCTTTACTGTGCATGACATAAGAATTTAGTGTCTTACATTCAAAATTTTATTAAACTACTTTTTGTTTATGTTACACCAAGTAAAATAGCATAAAATCTTAGCTAATAATCCATATTTTAATTGTATACAAGTTTCAAGTTCTTAATTCTATAAGGAAATATATAAAAAAAATCCAGAATTTCTACTAGTGTGACCCACGTGACACATTTTGTATTAGCATATTATCATCCATATTTAATCCACCATGTCTCGAAAATGTGCGAAATTAAACGTGAAATACTCTATGGAATCGTTATTGCTCAAAGAAACCATAATTTTATAGGCTTCAATTTTGTTTGGTTACACCCACCTGTCGCATCCTCTCTTTCACAATTCGTTGATAGTTCTCTCTTAAGTTTCATTGTATATTACCTATAACCAATAGAAAGTCAAGGTTTTCATCAATCAAACGACATATTGTATAACGTTGTGTTCTGAACAGATAATCGTCAATTTCACCTAGGGTAGCAACATCGTTTCCGTAGGAAAGTTAACGACTAGCTTGGATGAATTTGTAACGGCTCTTGTCGCATAGTGAGAAAGCCAGGAAAATTTTGAAAGGTAAATGAATTTGTCCACTTTTTGCATGTTATGAGTCTACATTCTTTGGTGCATTATTTAATTAAATAAAAATTGTTAAGTGCTTTACCATAATTACTATAAAAAATCAGGCTTAACTCTCCTCGACAATAGAGGGCAAGAAAAAAGAAGACTAGGTAAGTACTTTATTTATTGTTTTTCATATTTATTCTTTATTTATTATTCTAAAAGTAACTAAAATAATTTAAGACTAGATTAGGTAAAATAAGTAATAATAATAATATAATTAAAATGGTTAACGAAACACGCAAGGAGCAGCTCGTGGGTAATGTAATTCGATAGCCTAACGTGAGCTGCACGTTTCCCGAGCGATTTACAACTTATAATGGCGCGGATAGTAGTTAGACACAGTTCAAAGGGCAATAAAACAATAAAATTTGATTATAAATAGATGTATAATGTTACGAACTTAGAGCTACTAAGGATAAACGAATGTAGTTTTATGTTGCAATTTGAATTCATTCTAGAAAGAAAAAATGTTAATTTAGGTTTATTTCGATTTTTTTGTGGTTACGAGGTCGGTCGAATTGACCGAACCCGTTTTGGGATATGGTAGAGAAAATTACAGATAAAATATAAGGATTTAATGAAGAAAAAAAAAACGTTTGAAATGCATTTAGGAGGTTTTAGAGATTACAAAGGAACTTTGAGATGATGAAAAGTATTTTTAATTTTAACATGAAAATTACTTTGCACACGGACAATTCAAAACAAATACTCAATATATTCATGGACAAATCTTTATTTTATTTTATCAAAAATACTTCGCTAAGAAATGTGACTTTGTGTATGTGAAAGACTTGTAATATTAACTGAAAGACTGCCAAATTTCGTGAAGATATACCCAATATATTGAGAGTTCTTCTTCTTAGTTCCTGTCGTTCCTATTGGAACATAGGGCTACAACAACACTTGGGACCAGGCAATGGTGGTACCTTTGGATTAGAAATCCAACGCGCTATCCACTGCGCTATAGGGACACATATTGAGAGTTATAAATATTAATTTATAAAGATTTTAAACGAGTACAAAAAATCACGTGACTTTGTAAAATTGACCAACCCCATGTCGAGAGAGATTTATCACTGTTTAGCGCCTTTCACATATGGTCGTTCCCGATTAAGGATGCCGAAGGTCACAATGTTATATTTTATTTTAAGCATAAATTCTACTTTTTTATGTATTCGTATGCGAATCACATGGTTACAAACATTTTCCATTATTGATACTTAAACCAAAACGTCAGGTCATTTTTACACAATGTAATTTTGATTGGATGCACCTGTTAAATGCATTCGAACACATGATAAAGTAAGAGGCGGAGGGTCCTAATTAACAATATCTCTGAAAGGCGTAGTACTGCCGTTGATCTGAACAAATGAGGCTATTGAGTGAGACATTCACTCAACCAGCTCCTGTATGATTTAATTTGACTCTATTGTTGTTCCAAAAGGTTCCAGTTGATGACCATTGGAAGAACGTGATTTAACCTTTCGAACTATATACTGCATATGGCTTCTATAGATTGATAATTAGAGCTCAGCGTGGG